CTCCATTTTCGCCGAGGACCGCCGGAACATCGCCGTCATCGTCAATCCGAAGGTCGCCGCCGTTTCTTCCTCGTCGCCGTCGCCGTCCGTTGATCTTCCGCCGTCGCTTTGGTCACCGGTGAGTTCGCCGCATCGCCCGCATCGTTTAGGTGTTTTCTGTTCGCGCCGTCGTGCCGTCGTTCGCCGGTGAGCTTGTGCCGTCCAAGCCATCGCCGGTGATGACGTCATCGCCGACGTCATCGTTGCCGTCCGCCGTAGACCGGCCGTGGACCGATAGATCTCGGCCGTTCATTTTGGATCGATAGATCCCGACCGTTCGTTTCCGTGAGCCGCCGCCGTGCACCCGGTCCACCGTGAACCCTAGATGCTGACGCAATAATCCTCTTTTTCCTCTTCAAAAATAATTCATAATTGCGTCATAATTCCATTAAAATATCTATAAATGATTTAATCCGATTTAATCTTTGAAAATTCATAACTAATTCATCTTAGCTCGGATTTAGTTGGTTCAAGTCTCTAAATTTTTCTAAAATTGAGATCTACATGTTAAAAATATCCACATATACTGTTCATGCTTATTTATGTGCTGTTTTGGTGATTTTGTTCTTTTCTCCTTAGATTCCGACGTTCCCGGAGAGTCCGATCTTGCAGGAGAAGATTTTGAGGAATTCCAAGGCCAGCAAGGCAAGTTACACAGATCCCAAACAACCCTTTGAGCATGTTGATCCCGTTTAAAGCTATTGTTTCTATTCAACTATTGCATTTATTTTCGAATGTCATTGGGTGGAATAAACTTATTGTTTGTTATAGCCCTTTTGTTCTTGATTACTTTATTCTTTGATTTCTTGGGTTATTATAATTAGACTAGTTGAGCTTTATATAATGGTTCAGCTAGATATTAGACATAATTGCTTAGCCATGCTTAGAAACATTAGCACACTATTGTGATAACTTATGCTTCACTATTATTTAATGATGGCTTAATGATAGCTCATGATGGTTAATCATGATTGGATAATTAATTAATTTGTCAACTAAAACCTGATAATGGTGGGTTGTGAGCATATGGTTTTGATGGTTGTGCTCATGACAATTAAGGACCGGTTCACGATTTTCGGTTGTGAAACATTTACCGTGCCAACCACAAGCCAGCGTGGGCAACGGCTTTACTTTCTGTATAGTATGATTCATAGTAGAGTACCAGACTGTGAAGTGGCGGAGATAAGCCCACGGGGGTCACTGGGGAGTCCATACCTTGTTTATAAGGGGGTGATTATGATCCGGGAACGGTGTACTGCTTTGAATTGTATTATATAGGGGGTATTGTCACAATCTCTATTCGGGTACTTGTCAAGTATCGCGACGCATGGTTGACATGATGTTGAGGTTGTGTCTTGTGGGTACAGTGGTACATCTCTGGCCAGAGTAAAACTATTCGAATAGCCGTGCCCGCGGTTATGGGCGGGTCTAACAATGTCTTTCGTGATTAGTTTCACATCTCTCACTATATTAAATGATGCTGTTAATAACTTGTTTAGCTCCTGGTTTGGAATGGTTAATTCCTGGTTTGGAGATAGAACTGTGCAGCCGGGATTGGTTGTTCATAAGGGTTGGGCCTATGCAACAGGGTTTGTTGTATAGCGTTGGATTAATATTGTTTAATTATTATTTAACCGTTTTATTAAATTCTGAAATATTTATTAAATGATGTTTATGCAAATGAGACCATATTATGCCATTCTTTGTTATCCTGTGCACTTGCATATTTGCTGCGTGGCTTGCTGAGTATGTCATATACTCACCTTGCAATCATTCATCAGAGGAGGAGTTCTATAGTGATGCTGATGGAGTGGATGATTAGGCGTAGCCCTGGTCAAGCTGCCTGTGGAGAGGAGTCGCCTGCGCTGTTTTTATTTTCCGCTGCTTAGAACTTTATTGATTGAGAGGAACTATCTACCTCTGTAATGACATTCTATTCGCTTATTAATTAGAGTAATAATTGTACTCTATTATCAATTTGTTATTGTGTGCTTCGGCTGATTCCTGGACGAGGGTTTACACACATGTAAGCGTTTGGAATTTTGGATAGAAATTCCGGGCGTGACACCATGCCATCGCCAGGTTCGGTCGCCACGCCGGCATCTCTATGCATGGTCACTGGCAGGGCCAATTAAATGGCTTCAAGTCGGTAGTTGCGAGCTTATCTGATCGTTACTCAAACAACAATACAGCTAAATATTAGAATAAGTTTATTTTGAACTTCAGGGACAAATATGTACTGATCACCAACATGATACATGCCTAACATCTGATATTTGAGAGCAGACAAAATACATGGATCGGAACTTCCTGGTCACTGTGCTGCTGGCGCTCTACACCATGGATCAACAAGAGAATTGGCACCGACGCCAAGGCGCCGGTAGCAGGCCAGCCAGCAAAGACGGCATGGAGATGACCAATGGACAAACAATTGAAAAGGTTGCTGATGGCCGTGGAGTAGAGGACTTGACGGCCTCCAAGGCGGACACCAAAGGTGTTGCTATAGATCAAAGGCAGAACTCCTGCATGCATGCACGGCAATGAAATGACACGATGGACAGAGGAGGAGAAGGGGGAAAAGAAGAGGTCTGTGAGAGCAGCCATATGTGTAGATCGCCACCTGCGGGAGGTTTTGCCGAGCGAGACCAGGGATGTGCCCGGTGACGTGCGATACAATTATGATGAATGAATAATTATTTTTTAATCAAAGAATGGATAAATTGACTGCGTTTGTTAAGTACTGATATGCCCTTTGAATCAACGGTTCAGATTGATTCTACTAGTAGAATAATACTACAAGTAGAGAGCATCATAGCTGGACTATGTTTTTTTTTGGTTAGTGATTCTTTTGACCAATATTTTTCTAATTTCATATTTGTTCAATGTTCTTACCTGTACTACTCTGCTCTCATGCCTTGCCTTCTTTGCTATTTTCCTATCTAAGTGTTAACATATATAACTGTTCTCACAGTTGTTTTGATGAGATTTTTAGAACACATATGCAGTTGAGTGAGACCGAAAAATGTTATAAAATCAATAGTTTACCTTATTCGACAAAAAAGTATAAGGGTAAAGACATCCCAAGACAACGGCTGAGCATCATGGTACAAATGGACTAGCAAACCTACCTGCAAATCTTACTAAAGAGGCATACCAAGAACAATAAGTACCTCCAACATACTGTTCAATTACCTACAAATGATCTCATCTACTTATGTCATAATAAAGTATCTATTTAGATGGCAAATATTGTAATTTGTAGAATGGCTAATAATTTATTTTTCATAGGCTTACTCAATCCCAACAAATTTAATCTTTATATTGTTTACTCAAAAGTCAAAATTACATATTTCTATATGGGACTAAGAATTCCTGCAACAATACTTGATATATCTTCTAATTGACTATAGAGCTACGGGACGGGCATCCCATGGGCAGGACAGCCCATTGGCACTGCATGGCCCATCTCTGCTAAATGAACATCCTTTTTTAAGACAACTACTAAACTATGCATGCTTTTCTTTGATCTAGTCATTCCGTCAACAACTAATTTTCAGACACCACCATGCACACGGTTCCTCGATTGGACACTTGTGGGAATGGATATGCAGACTTGCATTGTGCCATGCATGTACAGTGCTGTGTTGGCTAGGACAAAAGGTGACCTTATGTAGACATGCATTGTGCTATGCATGTACAGTGGCTGTGTTGCCTGGAACAGAAGGTGGCCTTCATTATCGCCGCTAAGCACCAGATCTTGATAATGATTCACCCTTCAATGACGGTGATGCTCAGTGTCAAGTGCCCTGTGCATGGCCTCTCTACAGCTCTACTTTGACACAAGATCACATCAGTTGCCATTCCAGTTACTTTGGAATGTTTGTCCTAAGGCATCCTCATCTGGAGGTAGGAAAAGTAGGTTTACAATGCCTAGGTAGGAAAAGTAGGTTTACAATGCCTGTCGCCATGATAATAATTGGCCATGCTACTCCCACTTTGTTTGACATCTTTTCCACTTCTCACCACTTACCCCTAGCCCATCTTCCTTACACTCTATTAAATTTTGTTGCACTTGTTGAATTTGAATGTTTTCACTCCTTTTTGATATTCCATCAATTGATTTGTAGATGCTGCACAGATTTTCAGGTGTCACACTCTCTTGTTCAAATGTTGCACACTGTGTTAAGTAATTAATGCCTGCCACGTTAGTGTACAAATGTTACATACAACATCCAATAAATACGTGCCAACATTGTACTGCTTTATGGAATGTTACATTTCTTTGTCTATATGTAGCCTTCAACGGAACGTTAGTCAATCTAAATAAATATTTGATAGTTGGAATGAATGGCTCATATTAGACATCCAAGTGCATCAGGATCACCTACATGCTATCTCATTTGTCTGTTTTCATGGAAAATGGACTAGATTGTAAGCGTTCAATATACAGTGCTACACTGGTATACTATAATTAAGTGAACTGCACATTGAGCCACTAACTTTTACCTATATTGTATCTTCGTCATTTCTCCCCTCTTTTAGGAGAGATGAGAAGCCGAGACATAAGAGAGTTGGGGGTTTGTCGCCTTACACTCTTTTTTATTTGTTAAACAAATTTATGGCTACTTATTTTTTGGTAGAAGTCAGAGATGTAAATCATTTTTATTATTAAAAAGAAGTTCCAAATGCACTGGATGGCGATCCAGATCCTATATGAGCCGTAGTCATGTTCTTCGATTGTGATGTTCTGGGATGAGCCGAAGTTACGTTCTATTTGATTGGTGATCAAATAAGTGTTCCTTTGTCCTTTGTGAGAAAGCGGCATGCACTGATGTACGAGAAATTGAGTTGCGATGTGGTTCATGCACTCACAACCCAATAAGTAATCATCAAGAAAGGAATACAATCTTCTGTATGGATCAGAAGCAAGAAGCTAGCTGATCGATATTCCTTGAGTCACATCAGCAGAACAGATACAATTTCATAAAACAGCCCAGAAATATTGACACACAGGGATACATGCTCTTTTTATTGATGGTATGTACGCACATACATAACACACGTGTATATATATATGTATGTATGTATGTATGTATGTATGTATGTATGCTTTATTATAAGAAGCACGCCTGCTCATATGCAACGGCATTAAGAAAACACATAGATAGCCACATGGACACACTAGTGAACAACACACGAAAAACACACAAATAGTCACTAGAGCAATAGTACATACCAAAAGTATGCGGGATCATACGTAGCAAACAACCAAGTCTACTCAGTTCCCGGGCACAATTATAGCTATTGCTGGTGAAAGTGGTGGCAGCTTTGGTTGAGACGGCTCTGGCTGAGGCTTGGGTTCTGGCTTAGGATCAGGCTGTGGCTCCGGCTTGGGATTAGGATTTGGCTTGGGGTTAGGACTCGGCTCAGGTTTGGGTTCAGGTTTTGGCTCCGGCTTAGGATTTGGGCTCGGCTCCGGTTGTGGCTTAGGCTTTGGATTTGGTTTTGGGTCAGCTTTGGGGCTAGGTTGTGGGTTCGGTTGAGGATCTTGTTTCGGGTCAAGCTGTGGCGTTGGTTTCGGGTTAGGCTGTGGGTTCGGCTGAGGATCTTGTTTTGGGTTAGGTTGCAGCGTTGGTTTTGGGTCAGGTTGTGGGTTCGGTTGAGGATCTTGTTTTGGGTTAGGCTGTGGTGTAGGTTTTGGGTCAGGCTGCGGCGATTGTTTTGGATCCGGCTGTGGGTTTGGTTGAGGATCTTGTTTTGGTTCAGGCTGTGGTGTAGGTTTTGGATCAGGCTGCGGTGATGGTTTTGGATCTGGCTGTGGGTTAGGTTGAGGGTTAGGCTGTGGACTGGGCTTTGTCTCTGGTTGTGGTTTTGGTGTTGGGTCAGGTTTAGGCTTGGGATCTGCTGGCTTTGGATCAGATTTAGCTTCAATCACGCGTCCATTGGCAATGTCAGGAACATTTGCTGCCAATGCAATGACAAGCGCCAAATGGAAGCACAGTGAGAGGATTGATCTCCTCATCTCGTTGTCACTGCAAACTCTACTACTCACTCTTGATAGTTCACAAGCTGTGGTAGTTAGGTGTGTTGCAGAAATGGCAGGGAGAGGCTAGGAGATTTATAGACATGGAGAGCCAACTGGCGGTAGACGCGTGTGATGCTCCCTTTGCTTCATCGGCAACGTTAGCATGTCACTAGTGATCCACCTTTTCTTCGTCGTTGATCCGTGTAACTTTCACGCCCACCAGCCAATTCAGATCCATCAGGAAAAAGTACCAAATAAAAGGCATTAATTTGTGCCTTGTCGTTATCATCGCTGTCGTGAGATTGCAAGGGCTTCTTCAATTAATTTGCGTTGTGTTTATCACATGTAAGCTTTCTCAATGCTAGAGGGGAAGAAATGGGAATTCCTTCGTGTGACTACTTTATCTGGTTAATTTTTTTTTCATGTATGCATGCAGCTACTCGATCTTGTAACTGATTTACGCCTAACTTTGCAAGCACAGCTAATGATGTGCAGCTCTTTCCCCCCACCTGCGGCATATATACAATTAACTATGTGGTTAGGAAGCGGTTTAGAATTAACTAGGTACATTACCATAATCTTGTCTGTTCTAGCTGTCATGTGATGTTTTACTATTTTCTTGTAATTAAAGTTGTAAAGGTAAACTTGTATTGCTGATAAAACTTATGAGAGACACGGTAGTTCAGTAATTTTATATTTGTATGAGTTTCACACAAGAATCAAAATTTTATATTTTTCAATCCAGTCCTTGTTTATGGCAGGACAAAAATCTCAAAATAATATGTAGATTTTTTTGAATTAAATTCCTCATTCTCCAGTGATTGAAAGTACGGTTCTATATGGATACAAAGATGTTTATATGTAGATAGGATGCATCCCCTCGTATTCCACTAATGTCAATTATAATATAAATTTGTTTGGAAGATTCTAAAGAAAATGTGCCCATGCATAATATATTAGCATTTACTATTTCGAAAGAAAAAAAATTCAAATCTAAATTCTATATATAAATAAGAAAAGAGAAGTTAATTATGTTTTGGTCATCTTTTATATCCGAAGTTTCACTATGTTCTACCCTTTAGCGGAACTATTTATCATTATTGTAGTTTGAACCACCCAACATAGTCGAGCTCATCAATGACCTTAGCACATTGGTGAACTTTCCCACTTACACGAAGGCCGTCCTTTACCAGAGGAGAGTCTAGATGCAGCTGGAGAAGAGGATTATGCTGGTCCAAGTCCAAAGTGCAACAGAGCAATTAAAACTAAAAGGATTAATTATTGATAATCAGAAGGAAAACTTTGGTAATAAAAAGCGGTCCAAACTATAATACATTATGCGAAGAAAATACAACAGTGAACTGTTCCCTGTAATGTCTGTATAGTTATATACTCCCTCCGTATTTTAATGTATGACGCTGTTGACTTTTTGACCAACATTTGACTATTCGTTTTATTTAAATTTTTTGTGCAAATATGAAAATATTTATATCATGCTTAAAGAACATTTGATGATGATTCAAGTAACAATAAAATAAATGATAATTACATAAATTTTTTAAATAAGACAAATGGTCTAGCGTTAGATAAAAAGTCAACGGCGTTATATATTAAAATATGGAATATGGAGGTAGTATTTGTTAAACAAGACCCTTTTCTATTCGTTTCAGTTATGTGGAAGATCGTGCACCACTACTTCGTGTCACAACTTCCATTTTTGTTGCCAAAAACACAAACAATCGCATTTCTTGCACAAGTATAATAGTTTCCTTAAGTATTGAATCAATGTCTGCTGTTATAATCTGGAATTAGTAGGATTAATTATGCATAATATTTTCTTATACTTATTTTGTAAAAAAATAACGTTTTTCGTATAATCATGGGGTCACAGATGTTTTATTCAATGTCAGTTTTTCTTTTTTTGGGTCTTTGATTGTCGTACGTGGAGGATGCTCGTGTACAGCACACGCGTTTTCCCCTGTTTTTGACGAACTACTGTTACTTTATTTTCATGAGCCTTTGTGTCCCTGTCTTCAGCCCTGCGGCCCATCACAAACCTGTTGTTGGTGAGTGAGTGAGAGTGAGAGGCATGCATGCATGTTGATTTGACTAATGGATAAGGTGTTCAGCAAATCACCGATATTGAGAGTGCTGGAGACGGACTTTGGGAAGAAAAAACTGGTTGGATATATATCGAGACTAAAATCCAAATAGGATAATATACGGTATGAAACTTAAATAGACATGTAAACACTAATATAAGATTACTGAAAAATTTACAGGGTGGAATTTCTAATTTATGATGTAATATTTGAAATTTACCGCATAAGTATATATAAATTTATAGTTTAGATAAACATAGTTTACAAGTAGAGGGAGAATGTGAAGGGGTAACACGATGGGTTCAATTCAGGGTTTGCAAAACAGTGTGGTTATTGCGCTGTTATCACGTAGTTTGTGATACCACGGTCAACCTCGCGGTAACAACACGGTTTTCACGGTAACCACACGGTTACCGCGATAATCGTCTTATCATGAAGGTGGCGGTAACCCCACCTAAAATGGTTTGCTGAACCCTAGTTCAATCCATGTTGTTTAGAGGGGTCTGTCCTTTTTTTAACACTCGAGTGAGTTCTTCCTATATAACATCCGTATAATTTTCAATGCACAAGTTTTTTCATTATTTATTTAAAAAGTGTATAACAAAATGGAAGAGTCCTTATGACAAATCTATCGATATAGTTTTCAGACATCAAAGCATAATGTTTTTTTTTATCTTTGATTATTTTAGATTTTAATATTTGACTGTACATATTGGAACCATCTATTTGAATATGGCAGTAGTACCATACCATTTCGAATGTACTATGTAAATGACCGATATGCTATACAAGAAAAGAAAAGGACCCCGCTTCATGTTCTCATCTGGCCGGCTCTGGGCGAAACCCTAGCCACCACCGCTGACCCTCCTTTCCCTTCTTTTCTCTGCCTTGAGTAATTGAGTGTTCTTTTATCTTGTGTTGGTGCCTTTTATCTTGTGTTTTACATCATATATCAGTGTGTGTTGAGTTTGTTCGTGTGTGGATTTTATAATAATTGGTTGTAGCTCATTGAGCAAAGGGCGGAATGTTATTCCATTATCTAAAAAAATCATAAACTCATTAGATTGTTATAAACCTTTTCTAATATTCTTAAAGTTTTGAAATATTTAACGAATATAGTTCTAAACATCAAATATTTACGATTAGTTTGATAGGGGCACCAGGGTTCCTCACGGTATAATCTCAAAGCCAAACATGCACACTCAATCAAGGCTATCAAGGCTATGTTGGAACGCAGAAATTATGAAGGAATTTCGCAAGAATTAGTCCAATTCTTATGAAAATTAAATCTTTTAAAGTCCTTAATTCTGTACGAATTGAAGCTCAATTGGTCATTGCAGATGGGTGAGCAACATCAATACATCTAGTAACGAGGCGTTAAATTTACCTGATCTTCAATAATGTGTTCTCCTTTTTTTTAGATAAAGGATTATCAAACCCGGCCTCTACACCTTTATGGGGTGTACACAGCCAAAAATCCGAACACGAGTACATAAGACTCTCCCTAATTAAAGGGTACAAAATGCATCAACTGACCTCTCCCATTACATAAGAGATGACAGCACAAAGGTTTTAAGAACAACAAACGAAGAAAAGACTAGGCTTCCAATCTTCTTCTAAGGTTCCAGCCATACACGGAGAAGAATTCCACCACACGCTTCTCCAGCACTTTGCAATAGTTCTTAACTATTTCTTCATCGGTTCCCTTAAGAAGCAAAGACCAAGTCCTTGCCCAATGTGTTCCCACGAAAATGACCTGCAAGAAAGATGTAGGATTGGAGCCATTATGACCACATCATTCCTATATAACCAAATTGCTCAAAGAAATGCAGCTATGCCCACAAACAATATTCTCTTGAGCCTAGGTTCAACACAATTCAGCCAATTCCCAAACATTTGAGACATGCTACACGGTTGCCTAATCCCAAATGTAAAAAGGAGCGCACTCTAATAATGTGTTCTCCTGATCTTGTTTTGGTTAAATTTACCTTTGTGTGGTCATTTCTTCAATCATTTCTGAACTACACTCATTTTTTATAGTGCTAGATTGTAATAATGGGCTGTAGCTCTCTTTGAGCAAAGGCCGGGATGACTATTCCATTATCTTAAAAAAAAGTAACGAGGCGTTCAAGTTCAACTTCGCTGGCGAACAACTTGATCTACTCGTCAGTAGTTTCCCAAAATGTGAAATGGTAAGTTTTCGGTTTTTATTAGCACACTTCTTTAACGGCTAAACAACACGTTTTATGTAAAACTTCTCTATATAGAAGTTTCCTTTTTTAAAATAAATAAGTAAATTTATTTATCCAGTTTATAATTGCTCATACTTAATTAATCGTACACTAATGATCCAACACATTTTCCGATGCACCAACACCGCGAGTCAAAAACGTAGTTTTGAACTGAGCCGCTGCGGTTACTAACAAATAAGACATGGTTGGCACTTGGAAGCGGCACAGAAGAGTGGAGGCAGTTGTGTCCAAGGGCCAATCCATATTATCCCCACTAAACCACAGCTTCTTGTCAAGTATTCCACTTAGGAGTGTGTATAGCAAAATTGGATTCCATTTTAGGATGAGAGAGTAAGAGGGGGCCATATTTTGGACCACCACAAAATTCATCTAGCCCAGTGAACAGACCTCTTTTTCAGTCACCTACTACGAAAAGTGTTTTTGCAGACAACCAAAATTGTTCTATGCAGTTGATCAGTGCTCCGCCTATGATTTAAGGCCTGTAAATAAAATCAGGCATTATCGCAGGAAAAGAAGACTTACGCAGACACTAAGAGAACAGTAAAGAAGGAATACTTTTGTCGTGTAAATCTTAAATCATATCGATCGATCGACCAAGCACGCGCACCGGTAACTGAATGGCATCAAATCAAGTGTCTATCTGCATCGAGCTCCTGTGGCCACTTAGCGAAAATCCGGCCGTTTCGCAGTTCATCGTGCATTCGCTTCATGATCAAAAGGCGCAGGCG